TACTACGTGAAATAAAATAAAAATCTTAATTAGTTCCCGATTTATTTTAATAATAAAATTTTTACCGACTTGAATTATGGTTAGAATCTTAATTATTATAGTCACATGTTTCAAATCCTAACAACTCTAAATAGCCTCTCACATGTGTTTGTTCTTTGTAAATTATGTTGAATTCCAATAATAATAATAATAATAATAATTATTAAAAAATAATAATAATAATAATAATAATAATAATAATAATAATAATAATAATAATAATAATAATAATAATAATAATAATAATAATAATAATAATAATAATAATAATAATAATAATAATATTATTATTATTATTATTATTATTAAAAAATATAACATTTTTTTTCAATAAAATTAAATTTAATCTCACCCACATGAATATATGAAGGTCCACTAAAGAATTGGTCATGGCATTGGCACTCACACACCTGTCCAATAAGAAAATTCCAATTTAATTATTTATTATTTATGTCATCCTCTACTAATTGGGAAGATAGGTGTTAGGGTTTATTCTAAATTAAAATATCTTGTATTAAATAATTGACCTATGCATCTTTTTTTTCCACCGCAAATTGATTTTCAACCACACAAATGTTATTATTGTAATCATTTGTGTTTTGGCGTTGAAGGTAAAGAGTGGGGCGGCAACTTCGTTTTGACGCTAAGGATAAATATTCTACTATCATTTATATGAATGAATTCTATCCATCTATTTAATTTTATTTATTATATTTAGTCAAACTTTTTTGAATATATTCTTTTATTTCATCGAACATTATCGATTGTTCAATTCCAATAAGGCTCGACTCAATTAAATTTTTAGACCCAAGTAATATTTGTTAGAAAAAAATCGGGTACGGCCACTGATGTATGATTAAATAACTTCCATATATATATGACATCGATAATTACAAACACTATCGTAAGCTATAATTTCGTCTGCCAGTTATATCTGTACAGAGCTATGACTAATGGAATCTTGAAGATTCTATGAAATATTCGATATAAATTTCCTGATAAAATCAAGGGAAGTAAATGTAAAATTTAAACTTATCATTGCACCATGCACCAAAAGGCGAAATCCCTCGCCCCCATGGCCCCCATCCCTTGGCCCGACAAGGATTGATGGAGGAATGTAAATCATGGTAACTCAACGGCCCGTTAAGGTAGCGGACCCGGACCTGGTGCCCACAAGGAACCAACCCTCATTGAAGTTGAAATTTCCACACTGCGGCTGCCAGGATTCGATCCTAGGACCTTGCACCAATTTACCACATCCGGAACCAGTTGAGCTACACCCATGCGGGCATATTTAAACTTATCATAATTCTATATAAGGTTTACTTGTCACCTAAAATAAATTGAAGTGATGAAGTTTGTGACTATATCAGCACTCAAGTCTAATGATAATATATAGAATTATGAGCATTTGTCACATATAGTTTATTAAAATATAAACTATTAGACCTTAAATATAGTGTGCGTGGAACTTTTATATTATATATAGATATATATATCATGGATTAAATTATCCACTATTGTTTATAAGTTAATCTTATCCTACTAAGATAAAAAAATTACTTTAAAGAGTGACAAGCAAGAAAGAAGGTATTATAGAAACATAGAATTTTTGTTTTTTCCAATTTTACTAGTGCCGAAAATCGAATTTGATTTTATCACTCCGAAGATGAGATGAAATTTCCAACAAATTTGTCGTGCCTCGTGAAAATTCCTATGGGTCTATGTACCACAACATTTGAATATCCAACAAATTTTCAATTTTTACTATTACCCATGCTTTCAAAATCGAACTTGATAAATACAGAACGTCGTCTTTTAGTGTATATGTGATAAACACTAATTTCATATTTTTCTTTGAAACCTTTATTTTGTCAGATATTGTCAAATCACGAGTTTATCAAATTTTGTAGTATCTATTTTTCTTCGAATTGTTCCACTATTTTTTATGTTTTTAATCCACAAAACCACCAGGAAACTCTATAAGTAGAAACTTTTTAAAATATATATATATATAATTATTAATATAAAAAAATTATAAATAAGCAATACTAGAATACATAACATACTTTTCTAGTTTGGAGTTTGGTGATGTCACTGTCTTATCCTTCCGACCAATGACGTAATTAAACAACAATTCCACCTATCACTCATTCGTGTTATATTTTAATATTATTTTTAATTAAAATTAAAAATTAAAAATAAAAAATAAAAATCAGGGATATAAATACAGAGCACTCATGATCAACATTATCACTCACAAAAGAAGAAAAAAAAAAACATTAGCTCTCTCTCTCTTTCATACATACAAATTAGAAATCTGAGAAATGACCAAGGTATATCCAAACGCAGCATCGCCGCTGCCGGCGGCGGATCCGGCGCCGGTGACGGAGAATTTCAGTGGAGGCAAAGGAGATGATCGGAATCCTACGGTGCTGACGGTGTGGAAGAAGTCTCTGCTCTTCAACTGCGACGGATTCACCGTGTACGACGCTCGTGGAAACCTTGTCTACCGGGTGGATAACTACATTTCTGGCAACAGAGCCGGCGAGGTTGTTCTCATGGACGCTTCCGGCAGCTCTCTTCTCACGATCCGCCGCCGCAAGGTAAAAAAAAAAATTAATAATAAATAATAATCCACCGGCGCCGCCGCTGTGTGTGTGTGTGTGTGTGTTTTTTTTTTAATCGGAGATGAACTAATCGATCGATTTAAAATGATGCAGAAACTGAGGTTGTTGGGGGACAGCTGGTCGGTGTACGACGGCGAGACGGCGGTAAACCCTAGGTTTTCGGTGGAGAAAAACGTGAACCTCGTCGGCGGCGGCAGCAGCAAAACCGTGCTGGCGCAAGTGGCGGAGAAGAACAATGCGTCGGTTTACGGAATCGAGGGCAGCTATTCGCAGCGGCGATGCGCCGTGTACGATGGGAAGCGGCGGCAGGTGGCGGAGATCAAGCAGAAGGAAGCCCCCTTCAAAGGCGTAGCTTTCGGGACCGACATTTTCAATCTAGTCGTACAGCCTGGATTCGACGCTGCCGTCGCCATGGCCGTCGTCATTCTCGTTGATCAAATGTACGGATCTTCTTCACCTCGACGACGTCGTCGTTTAAGCCTCTAATGAATAAAAACGACTGATTGATCTATCGGAATCGCCTCTCTTTCATTTTTGTTTTTACATATTTTCGACAGCTTTTTCGGTCTTTTCATTTTTTATAAAAGACCTAAAACAAAGCTCGTTTTCCATTGCCAGTGTACAGCGAGGATTTGTGTCTGTATATCAATTTTTCGTAAAATCACACAGCGATCCGCTTCACATGATCGAAGATCGAATTAAACAACTAAATATGATCGTTAAAAGCTCGTCTGAACTTTGATTCGTTAGAATTAAACAACTAAATATGATCGTTAAAAGCTCGTCTTAGCTTTGATTCATTAATATAACGATTAACGAATTAAGTTCGATACGAATGAAATACGTTCAAATACGACTCGGTCGTTACTATAATACGACTCGGTCGTTACTATAATACGACTTTATTTAGACAAGCTTAAACTGAATATACTAATATGGGATATAT